TAATAAAAACTAACATTTCCCGGGCACTTAATCTAAGCTAGGTTCTGTGCCAAATGCTTTACACGCATTATCTCATCTAATCCTCTCTGCTAGGTAGGTGTGATCATGATCTCTGTGTTATGGGTAAGTCTTCACAGAGGGATTAAGTCATGGGCCTCAACTATGTGACTAGTCAGCGTTGAAGTCAGCATAAGGGTCAGGACAATCCGAGTCTTGAGTCCTAATCCACTGCACACACAGCCTCCAAGATCCCTGCTGATTTCTGAAAGGTCTCATCAAAAATCTTCCCTGCACTGTCATTCCTCCAGGATGCACTTTATGTTGAAGACTATGCAAATGGCGTCCCCTCCGATCCCGGTTTATTCCTGTGCAGTCTCCAGTCAGTTCCCTGGTGATTCCCAGCCTGTTCTGACACCAGCCTTGGCGCTTCCCTCTAAGGAAGTAATGACCTCACTGTACTGTAATGGTCTATTTGTTTGTGTGTTCCCCCCAGCCAGACTCTGAGCCCTTCCAGGACAACTTAGTTTTGCTGGCACCTAGTGTGCTCCACAATAGTAAACTGACAGAATTGTTAATGAACTACAGAGCCTCATGAGGAGGCTAGGTGATTATGTGCATGGCCATCCTGGGTAAGTATATTGAGGGCGTTGCCCACACAGGACTTTGAAAACATCCCTTCAAACCTACAACAGACAGAAAGCTAGTTGAAGGGAGTCTTTTCTCAGTCTTGTGATTCTGTGACTTTAAATTTGAGAAAAATCCTAAGGTCAAAGGGCTAGGGGCCAGTACAGAGAGCTCTGGTGAGTTGAGAATGCTGAAGCCACAATGGCATTGGAACCAGGAATTCCACAATTCCTGGCTCCATTGGCCACAATTCCTGGTCCCACCCCAAGGTCAGGACCCCACTGGGGTGGCAGCATATGTGGCATTTAGCACTGGCAGGCCCCCAGGTGTGTGGCGGTTGCTTCTTCTTCCCAGATGGTTTCTGGGCACGGTCCCTCCTCTACACTGGAAAGTTTTAGAATGTCCTGGATGGATGATCAGGAGCTGGATGAAGGATCTCTGCTCTCTGGTTGCCATGGGTGTGTGAGGGGGACGGGAGCTCAGAAACTGACTCAGTTGGAACTGTAGTCAGCCTGCCCCAGGAGAGAGAAGGCAAAGGGTGCACCTGGGCCCCAGGCCATCCTGGAGACACAGCCAGCACAGCATTTTGCCCACGTGTTTGACCATCCTTCCACATGCTTATAGACCTATGCTGTCCAGGATGATGGCCACTAGCTTTGTGTGGCCAATGGATGCTTCAAATATGGTGGGCCTTATTTGAGTTTGTGGGCCTCTAACTTAATTTTAATGAATTTAAATAGCCACATGTGGACAGTGTCGCTTGAGAATGCTTTCACAATTCCTGGTTCCATTGGACAGTTTTGCTCTAGATGGTTTTAACTTTAACTGTACGATTGGCATCATCAAGCGAGGAGCCAGGAGCATCTCAGTCATTTCATTTCATGATTGATATGCAAAGCTATGGCCCATGCGAAGATGAGGTATACATGTGTACATATATGCACATGTGCACACATGCATCTTCACACCTAGTGGTGACTGCAGAGGCTGGACTTAACCCAGAGGTCCATTTTGACTTAGGTTGTGCTACTTCCCTCCGTTTCCTCTAAGTAGATGTTGACTGACTTCACAGAAGGAAAAGTTTTCTGAGTACTGCCAAAGAACATCAGTCTATTTTTCCTCTGCTGGCACCTCTGGAGTAATCTAGTTTCCAAAGACATCTGTTTTGCAAGCATGGGTGAGACAGTCACATTCTTGGTCCTTTGACCTGGCGGGAGGAGGGCAGTGAGCAGTGTGGTGAGGGGGTGGTGATGGGAGGGCGGGGCCTTCCGTGGAGGAAGTACCACATACCTCACCTCTGAGCAGTGTCTGAGAGAGGTAACACCTAAGTGGAGGAGGTAACTGTGTGACTCCAGCCAGGAAGGAGGCCAGGCACTACTTGCAATTTTCCAAGTACTTTATTTAAATAAATTTTTCTTCTGTGTGTGTTTGAATTTTATAGGAAAAATACTGACAAATACTATACAGCTTGGACCATATATCCTTGAAAAGGTGACTGCCCTTCTTCCACATATTTCCTCCTCCTTCCCCCCTGAGAAATAAGAAAAGCAAATCCACTGAGCAGTGGGGAAGAGGTCTCCCTGCTGCTGGAGTCTGGTGAAGGCTACTGGTAAGTCCAGGACTCGGGCTTCCTCCCAGAGCCAGTGCTGGTCTAGGAAGCCTCTTCCTTCTGAGCCCTCTTTTTGTCCCTGTTAACATAGCCTCAGATGGTCAAGCAGTGCTAGTTGTGAGGTCTTACCAGCTGTCAGTGGGCAGAGATGGGAGGAAGGAGTCAAGATGGAGAGGAATAGGGGGGTGGGCCTGGCAAGGTACAAGGAGAAGGAAGAGGAAGGACAAAGCACAGAGAGAACAATGACAGTAACGGGACAGCAGAGTGGACACCGTCAACTGCCTCAGGCCCCTTCATGCATCCACTTATTCAGCACAAATAAGTGAGGGGCCATGCTGTGCCTGGCATCATTCCAGGGACTCCAGGAAAGGTTGCCAGGAGGTAGGTGGGGAGAGCTCAGCTCCATTCAGGGTGTGGATTCTTCTGGGTCCTCCGCTATGGAAGCAACTGAGAAGTGAGTTTCTGGGTGTATTGTGCCCAGGGCCAGAACAAGTCCACTCAATTAGGAGACAGCAGGGACACAGTGCCTGAAGACAGAGGCCTTGTCATGGCAATGACAACTGACGGCTGTCTTAATTCAAAGGCGCAACCGGTCACCATGGAAACCATGTCACCCGTGTGGTCCCTGATCCCCATGATCCGCTCTCCTAGATCACATCTGACACACTGTCTTGGCTGTCAGCCATCCATTCTAGAGGGACTGAGAGGTAGGGACAGGAAGGGCAGCTCATCCTGGCAAGCAGCAGGAGACGAAGGAAGACGTGTTCATTTGGTATAGGGAGATGGTCAGGCATCCTGTGACATGAAGGGAAGAGCCACAGGCTCCATGACCAGCTCTCCATGTGACAAGTGAACAGAGAATCAGGGGGGAGGGGGCTTGAGTGCCCAGGCAGTTTATGGCCATGCAGTGTGAGAGGGTAACTGTGACTGGCTCTACAACATATGCAGATCTGAGTAACCCTGTTAGAAAGCCCTGGTGCAAGAGCCACCACTAGACCCCCCAACAGGCCTGAACACCTGGAGGGCAGATGAGTACCAGGTGACCCGAGTGAGCAAACAGAATACCTCTTTGCATGAACACAATCTTATACACTTTAGGTTTTTCTACTATACACATCATAGTTTAGCTGCATTGTTATTAGCAATATTGCCACTGTGTAGAACAGCTTCCTTGGGAAAGAGATTCTCCAGCAGACTTGCAAACAACCTTTTAGGGCACAACCTGCCCCCACTGTTGGGAATCGTTCATCTTTGTAAAATGATCACAATATTCCAAACCCCAACCTGTTCATCCTACAAGGGGATTAAGTCTGCCTCCCGACCTCAGCCCAGTGGGGAGAAGCTCTCAACTCACTGCGGACCTAGTTTATGTGTACTCATATACCCCAGGCACACATGCCACCCCAGCCCTGGGTTCCGTGTGTATGCTCCTGCAAAACCTCATAACCTCGTTTCATCCACTGCAGCAGTGAGTGGGCTTACTTAGAAGAGAAGGTCACTTGGGGAGAATTGACGAGGTATCATGAGTTGACACTTAACATCATCACACAAACAACAGCAACCACAGCCAGTTATGAGTACCTACTGTGTGCAAGGCACTTGCCTGAGCTTCAAGATAAATAGTATTATAATAAACATCTTCATAGCATCATCCTACTTTCATTTAAGCTCTATGACTTCTGCCCCCTACCTGCAACATACCATGTGCCCATCACAGCCTTATGAAGTTATTTTCATGTGCCTTCTGTGAGATGGTGCCGTGACTGTCATATTCCTTCCCTGCTGGACACTTGTGGTTATGCCAGTCATTCCTAGCTGAGGTGGAGGAACCCCTTGCCCGCTCTCTCCCATCCATAAGACACACAGCACAGCTACACAGGCACCATCACTGTAGGGAAGGTGTGTCTTCCCTAGTGTTCTAACAGTCACCACCAACAGCTCTTTGTTCTTGCTTGGAGAAGGACACCCTGCTGAGTGGTTTTGGGGGTCACATCTCAAAGAGAGGTCTTGGCCCTCATTAAACACCTATCTGCAGTAATGAAGATGGACCTTGACTTGAGTTACAAGATAAGCGCTTCCAATGAATTTGGATCCATCACACTTTAAACATTTTGGCACAGGGGAGAGGCCAGAGGCACAGGAACTTGATGTGTGTCTATATTGGGAACTTGGTGCTCTGGGGACTGTACCAGCTGGCTGGAATGTTTGATGATGAGTATTTCCAGTAAAAGTTTATGTAGAGAGAGAGAGAGAGAGAGAGAGAGAGAGAGAGAGGAAAGCACCCATCTCTGACCTGAGTGTGTGTGAGACAGACAGTGCATAGTGACCTTGCCTGGGTATATGATTGTATGTAAGTGCCTGAATCCAGCCAGGCCTTCCCACGAGACACCTTTGTAACTGTAGACCATGTGCTTCTATGCACGAGGTACACATCCAATGGCCATTGATGAACAGAATGTCCTTGTTCATGTACCTGTTGCCTGGATTTGTGTGTGTGTGGTATGAGTGTGTGCACACTTGCGAGCTATATCAGGACGCATGGACAAATGGTCTTTGTGCTTCTGCATATGGGGTATGCCAGAGACAGGTGGCAGGCATGCCTGTGTCTGTAGATACAGCATCCCCATTGGACACGGCTGCCCAGACAGTACTCCCCAGAAGTGCGTTCCGCTGGGACATTTTGTCTGAGGTTTGTTCCTGGGCTGAGTAGTTATTCTGTAGGTGCAAGGGATCACTTCAGGGGTTCTTTCTCCCTCATCTGTGTGTGGCCAGAATGCTTAGGCCCAGAGGGGAGACACTTCTGCTTCCTGCCTAACTAGACAGGCAGGGATGGCCTCTTCTCCATCTGGAGAAGCTTGGGCTGAGCAGAGATCCAGAGGTCTTCATCCTTCTTTTTTTTCTTCCTCTTGTTCCGCTCTGGCTGCTGGCCGCCCCTGCCCAGGTGGCTCCAGCAGCAGTGGCAACAGATGAAGAGGAGCGTGATGACCACCAGCAGCGGCAGCCCCAGAAGAACTGCCAGGCAGATGGTGTTGTAGATGCCCTCTTGGTGTTTGACCAAGATGGTGTCCCAGATAGAGCTGAAGAAGGAGCTGATTCTTTCCATGGTGTTTGGCTATGCTGGGGCCAGAGAAGTCTCTCAGCTCATGAGCAAGTCCTGGACTTGAGGGGATGCAGCCTTGACCACTGATAACGTACTCCTCTTCGGGTTTTGGGTTTGGGCATGCCACTGACAGGACCTGCAGAGATTAAAACAGATAATTCAAGAGACTTGCAGAGGGAATGGTCTACCATCTTAACAGCATCATAGATTTTAGGCTTAGGGAAGGGGGAGGAATCGAAGATTTCAGAGTTCACTAAAATTGTATTGAGACTCAATAAACAAGATAAACACATGCATGTGGTCGATATGCATCAACTAATCTTTGGCTGTACACACAATATATTGGACTCAGGATGTAAAAATGAATAGTGTCTCAGGTCTGGCACACAGGAGGTGCTCAGCAGTTGCTGGGTAAAGGAATCAATGTGTATGTCCAGCGTTTGGGTTAGAGGCTGGCTTCCTGGACCCTCTGTGGTGGCATTTCTCAATTTCCTTTCTGCTGAATCTTGCCTGATAGGTGTTAAACACACAACTCCCCAAAGGACAGTTCTGTATGTGACCTTCTAGTAACATAACTTTTCATTTTCAATGCTTATTAAAGCTTAAGCACAGACGAAATGCCCACATCTTGCTGTCTGTGGCAGGAGACTTTGGCCTCCCCCAGGATATGAGGGCATTCATCCCCATGATGGCTCACGCTTACCTTCCTTCCTGTCCCAGGCTCTCCTTCCTGCTCTGTGTGCCCCCCTCCTTCCATCCCACTCCTGTGCTGGAGACCTCCTCCTCTCTCGAGGCCAGGGGAGCCAGCTTCTCTGTTTTTTGCCTTCCTTTCCCTATTAACCTGGCCTCTGCTTCCCATCTCTCAGCCACACATTCCCGAGTCTCCTTCCCTGCCTGCCCCCATTCTTCTCTGAAGGAAAGGGGTCTTCTTGCAGTCTCCCGAGTGTTGGTGCTTGAAACAGGGCTGGGGTCCCTGGGTGTCTCCTCTCCTATTCTGAGCTTGGTGTTCAGCCAGGCAGTCCTCCTGGGTGCTTTTCCAGAGTCGTCCCTCTTCCTTTGTTGCCCCTCTACCTCTCCCATGGATCTTGGGGCTCAGCTCTCAAGCATAAGGTCTTGGAGGCTGCCTCAGTAGCACAAACAAGGCTGTGAGGACAGACATGACTTAAGGAAATTTAAAAGGCCTCTAGGTGCAAGACATTGCCTGGGACCCAAGCATCCAGAAGTCCTTGATTTCCAGGCTGGACACTTTAGAGATCACCTGAGCAACTCTCTCACTTAGGGATGAAGAATCTGAGGTCCAGGGCTGCGAGGTGACATGTCTGAGGCCACACAGAGCTGAGATGAGTGTCCAGACCTCTGGACATTGGGTCTAGCATTCTCCCAAGCCTCTGGGCAAGTGAAAGAACGAAAGAGGTTGACGATGTCACACTATATTTGTACTTCACTCATTTCCAATCAGCTTCATGGGCCTTTTATCTTTTAAGTGAGTGACAGGATGGTACCATGTCTATGGATGGGAGCACTGGGCAACCTGGGCCAAGAACTCAAGGTTGGCTCAGGCTCCATTCTGCCTCTCTGCACCATAGCATACATGTGTTGCCCTCCTGAGTGGTGGGTTATACATGGTACCCCAGTGATTGTCCTTGGAGGTCTAACTCCTTGGACAGCACACTCTATCAATGCTCATGTTCTCAATGACCTCAAGCCCACCCAAGCCCCAGTTGATCTCAGCTCTGGTCTAATGGCATTTGGTCTCACCCCTTCATGGCATTATTTATATGGTTTTTGCAATTATGTGAAATGCCACCTACTACTTCACCATTTGGCCCATAGAACCTGAAGTAATGCTATAAGATGACAATAATAATTGTAGTCAACTTTTATTAAGCACATGCTATATGCTAAGTGTTGTTCTGCTAGGCATTGTTCTAGGCACTTTATTCACTCATTTGGTCTTGGGGACAACCTTATAAAGGAGGTACTGTTACTTGTCAACCTAAAGAGACAGAGAGCCCCAGGCTCTCCAGGGGTGGGGGGCAAAGTGGGCTATGCCCAGAGTCTGGCTGTGGATTCCTAAGGGGGGAGCAGCTGACAGGCCTTGCTCTGTGGACTCCCATTCCTTTGTGTGGAACCAACCCATTTTTGGAAAGCAGCCCAGGATTTACAGACTCTTACAATACTTGGCTTTTCCTCTGATTGACTTAAACATTTATCCCAGTCCATTGTAGAGAAGACTGCCAAGAGATTTATTTCCCATTGTTAGATCTTTCCCAAATGTATGAAAATACAGAAAATAAAAACTGAGTCCAGTCCACAGGCAGGTTTATAGAAAGCACATGGCTGCCCGGAACTTACACTCAACGCACAACAAAAAAAAGTATCCTGAGAAGTTGTGTCATCTTGCCAGAGACTCTGCCTGCGTCCCTCAGAGGGCCTGGGAACATCCCATAACACGGATCTGCCCACACTGTCAAGCACCAGCTCTCTGTAGCAAAAAAGCAGCCCTTGGAATGCCTATAACCCCTCAGGGCTGTTTGTCTCAGGACACTCATCTCTCTTCGGGATTTTCCTTCTCCCTTTTCAGTGACCTTTGCTTTCACCTCGGCCTTGTACAGCCTGGCAGTTTTTGGCTTATTTAGAGAGGGTGTTTTTTGCTCTGTTGTGGGAAGACTTGAGGCGTTTTCCTTTCATTTGATCCTACACACAGCCTTCCTGATTCACCTCAGACCACAATACCAACACAGTTGTTCACAAACTATTCTGTGCCAGGGGTCATGTGTCCCTGTGAGAAGCAGAAGACCACCAGGCACTCACCGCCCCCCACACTCTCCTAGGTTCAACCAGGGAGAGAGAAGCAGGAAGTCCTTGGGGCTTCGTGAATGAGGAGCTACTTGAGGAAGACCTTGAAAGATGTGTAGAACTTTGAGAAACACAGATGAAAAAAGGGGTTCAAACATTTTAGGCAGAGAAAACTCTCAAACATGAGCGGGAGAACAAAGGGTGTTCTGGTGAGCCTGGGGCTCAGGGTGAGATTGGAGAGGATGGAAGAAGAAGCTGGAGAGACAGGTATGGTTGGGGCAGAGGGGCTGTCACAGGGCTTGGGCTTAATTGACGGGCATTTACAATAGGAGAATGTTGTGATCAGAGCTGCCCTTCAGGAAAAGACAAGGCCTGAAGAGCTCTGGAAAATGTGTTAAGAAAGCTCTCTATCCATTTGTCAGACATTTGTTGAGCACTTAATATGTTTCATGCACCGTTAGGTGCTGAGGATTCAGTAGTGAACGACGAAGATATGGTTTCTGACACCATGGAGTGTCGTCCATTCCCGGAGAATTATTATTATTGAAGGATCAAGTCATAAAGGCCAAATAGAATAAGCAAATTCCACCCTAGATTGCTTAGGTTGGCTGAAATAGAAGCATGCATTTGAATTATATGTTTATCTCATCGTCCCAGGCCCTCCCACCCCTCCCGACCTTTGTCTTAAACTCGTCCATCCCTGGCACCTAAAATAGCCTTTGAATAAATAGATTTCTTTTCAAGCTAAAGCTAAGGCAATAATTCACTTCTGGATTCTGAAAGGTACTTATTTGAATCCACTCTCCATACAACCAAGGAGACTCTTCATTAACATTTGGGAACCCAGACTGGGGAAAATTCGATTAAAAGGTATTCTTTATATATTTTTTAATCTAAGAATTCTTTTCTCAGCCCCCCTGGTTACCTGCTGAGCTCTGCTAATCTATAGTGTTTCATTAGTATTTATGAGTCTTGCATTATTAGTATTTCCCAGAAAACAATCAAGTATCTCCTTGGTGGTATGAATTAAAAGTATGGAATGTTTTGCAAAAGAAGCCACACTTTGGGTCCTGGAAATGCACTCTGGGAGACCCCAGCCTTTTGTTGGCTTTTGATGTCACTATTTGAAAAGTAATTCATCTATTCTGTAAAACCAACAATAGGTGCCAACTGACCTCATTTGTTCGATTGTGGCAGTGGGGGTGCATGCGAGGAGAGACAACAGGGGAAATGTTACTTTCAATTTCCTTGAAACCAAATGTTGTTTATCTCTATGTCCTCTTTAGTATCTGACTAGGGTGAGAGAGTTAGTCATTCATTCTTCCTGCCACAAGCTTCTATCTGCTCATGTATGGGGTAGTGATAGGAAACAGTGATCATGTTGCCAGAAAAGTCTGAGTTTGAGTCCCTGGTAAACCTACATGACCTTGGTAGGTCATTGAACTTCAGCTATAAAATGAAGCTAATAAGCTTCCCTTGTAATCATACTGTGAGGATTAAAAGGGGTTCAGTATATTTAATGCATGTTGTAAACTGTAAAATACAATACAAACATAATCTAAAAACTAGTCCAAACTGTAGACAAATTCCAGCCTGGACCTCCTGGGCTCAGGCAACCCTATAGCCTCCCAAGTACAGGCATGGGTCACTATACCTGGTTAATTTTTTATTTTATTTTTTGTAGAGATGAGGTCTTGCTATGTTGCACAGGCTTGTCTCAAACCCCCAGGCTCGAGCAATCCTCCCACCTCGGCCTCCCAACGTTCTGGAATTATAGGTGTGAGTCACTGCACCTGGTTATTTTTATTTTTAAGATACAAGGTCTCACTCTGTCACCTAGGCTAGAGTGCCATAGCATGATCATAGCTCACTGCAGCCTCCAACTCATGAACTCAAACAATCCTCCTGTCTCAGCCTCCTGTGTAGCTGGCTAACTATAGGCACCCACCAAGAAGTCTGGCACATTAAAAAAAAATTTTTTTTGATAGAAACAAAATCTCGCTATGTTGCCCAGGCTGGTCTCCAACCGTTGGCCTCAAGCAATCCTCCCACCTCGGCCTCCCAAAGTACTAGTATTATAGGTATGAGTCACTGCATCAGCCTTCGAGAACCATTACATAAGCAAGTTGAGCAGATGACCCTTGTCTATGAGCACAGGAGCCTTGTGGTAAATGAGGGAACAAGTCATGGGCAGGGGGAGGTAT